TCGCCATTCATGCCAGGTCCTTTGCCTTTTGGTGAGCCTCTTTGAAGAAACATTCCTCCAGACCACCTTGCAAGTGGCTGAAGGCAGGCCTGGAACCGACTCCAAAATGTCTTTTGCTTTAGTCAGCTTATAGATAGTCTTTGGTTCCCACAAGTCGGGCTTGACTCCATCGCTGATCGCCGCCATTACTAGTATAAATAAAAACAAACTCTGTTTATATTGCCATTTGTAGATGCTATAACTTTCACATAAACCAATTAATTTACACGTATTTGGATTGTTTTTAGCAAAGACATGTAGCAGAATAGATTTTGACCTACATTTATGCCGAGATTTGATTTTTTAAATTTTTTTACAGGATATGTTTCATAGCAAAAGGTCAAAAATATTGTTTTATTTTTCAAAATTGTCAGTCTTGTTTTGTTTATAGCTCAAAAAATTAAAAATGCAGAGACACTAAAATACCACCTAAAGGAAGCTCCATTTTTGGGAAAAAAATTACCTAAATTTCATTTGGGTGCAGCGATGCGTTACTGTGCAATTGTCTGTTAAAATATCGCAGCACTGTAATGCAAAAAAAATGGCCTGGTCAGGAAGGGGGGTAAATCGTCTGGAGGGCAAGTGGCTAATATTGTTTGCATACACATACAGTAGATATGTCATTTTCTGCTCTTGTATTTGACTCCATGCCTTTCCCCACAAATATACAAATTAGAAACATCCCTTGCATTTAAAGTTTCATTTTTGATTTAGGATACAGATGTGGCTTCTTTTCTTCTTAGTCCTCATGCACACCGAACATTATTAAAGCGGCTGCTTTTGGCTTTTGGCGTTTTTTTTTCTACAGCCAGTAAACTCCCCAGCATGTTATCCTATGTGTCCATGCACACATAGGCTTTAATCAGCGTTTTTTGGCTGGAAAAAAAAAAACCAGAACTAGTGGGTTTCTAAAGGAATTTTTTAGCTGTAAAACACTCCAGTGCTAAAAAATGTGGTTAAATGCAGTAAACCGGCGTTTTGGGGAAATTTTTTTAACAAAATTTTTTCTTTTTTCAAGTAAACACTAATGCAAAAGCACTAAACGCTGAAAAACTCACGTTTTTAATGTGACTTTACACAGCTAACGCTACAAGCGTTATTAAAACGCCCAGTGTGCATGGAGCCTTACATTGCTCTTTTTGAGATAATTATTTATTTTTTTTTAGGTATAGCCCACCTTTGTCACTTTTTTATAGCTTTTTGTCCACATTAGGAATATTCATGCTTTTTGACAGTCACCCATTGCTACTGGGACAGAAAGTGAAGAGAAATCCAAAATGTTACAGTTGTCACCAGAACAGGAATAGAGGGTAAATCTTTCAGTGGGGACACAGGTCCAAGTGCTTACTGTCTAAAACAGGGGTCTCCAAACTTTCTAAGCAAAGGGCCAGTGTCCTTCTGACTTTAGGGGGGCCAGACTGTGACCAGTGGAGCAGTAAATGCCGCGGCAACAGTGAGCATCAACAACGCCCCATCATTGGTTTAAATGGAACGAATATTGCCCCATTGATGGTTCTAGTTGGTGGCATAGTGCTCCATCGATGGTGTCAGTTGGTGGCGTAGTGCCCCATAGATGGTGTTGGTGGCATAGTGCCCCATCGATGGTGTCAGTTGGTGGCGTAGTGCCCCATAGATGGTGTTGGTGGCATAGTGCCCCATCGATGGTGTCAGTTGGTGGCGTAGTGCCCCATAGATGGTATTGGTGGTATAGTGACCCATCGATGGTGTCAGTTGGTGGTGTAGTGCCCCATAGGTGGTATTGGTGGCATAGTGCCCCATCGATGGTGTCAGTTGGTGGCGTAGTACCCCATCAATTGTGTCAGATGGTAGCAAAGTGCCCCATTGATAGTGTCAGTTGATGGCATAGTGTCCCATAGATGGTGTGACGTAAATGTAAAGATTTGAGTAGCTGAGATGTGATCTGTAGAAAATATGACAATGTAGATTTGGCATTCCATGTTATAATAATATAGGATGTGTTCAGAATTAAGTCAGAGACATATGGTCACCAATTAACATCTGAAAGGGACAGAGCATCCTCTGGACTGGAGGTGACAGCTGGATGCCAATAAGATTTGTAACCTTCTGGGAAATCTGGAAGGAAAAGGCTCAGACAGTTCGACTTCATGACACAGTGGGAGACCAGAGGTGGTTCCGATGTGTCTGGGCAGCTTTGACTGTATATACACAGATCAAAGGAATATATTTAATCTCTCATAAAAGCTAAATTATTAGTTGCAGAGAGATGAAAATACTTTCTTCTGATTGGACACACTGTAGGCTACACTGTAGGCTACACCTGCATGTAAAACTGTATTTGTAGCCTATGTAGAATACCTAATTTGGTGATTCAAACCGTTACTGGTCCATTCGACTTTGGGCATTTCAGTACCCAGAACGTCCTGTGGGCTGGTACAGGAACACCCCCCAGAGTCGATTGGGCAAGGGCTAATGTCCAGCCTACGTCCATATTCCCATAAATTAAGGACCTGGGATATGGATGTTGTGATTCGTATGGAGCCAGTTCTATTGACTGACGGATTGCAGACTTTCTCTGACTTGTTCCAGTCGCAGGATAACTCTTGGTAAAAGTTTTATTTCTGTTTTTATCTCCCTTTTATTTTATAGTCAATAGCCAATTGTGTGTCTTCTTGTATTTCTTGTATTTTCTGTAACTTTTTATACTTTGTACATATTTTATGCACTGCCCACTTTCGGGATATTAAATCATAAAATTAATAAGTGACTTCTGGGTACTTAAGCTCGGGCTCATATCTCCGGAGAGATTGTATTGTATTATATGGTCGGTCAAGGTCATTGCCAATCTGTATGCAATTGCACTGCGTGTTGGCATATTGCATGCAGATTGTAAAGGTAACAGGTCTGCCAGACTGAGATCTGTGTGTGTGTGGTGGCCCAGCAGGCCAGTAAAACTGTTGGGTGGTGGCAAGCTAACGTTTGTGGTGTACCTGGTGTGAGGGTGTGTGGACAGTGGAAGAGTGATTAACACCAGGGTTCTAGTTTGTAGGATAGCTGGAGGAATCCGAGAATGGTGTGCGATTGCTAGGCTTCTCCTCAGCCCTTAGCGTGCACCAGATTGTATATAAGATTCATGTCTGCCTGCGTGTGCGGTCATCTAGCTGGATTGGAGTGGAGTCTCCCTCTAGTGGTGGCCAGAGGTAGTGCAGGCTGTGAAAGTATATCACGTCTTATATACTTATATATATAAGTATATTGAAGTCATATATACTCCATCACTGGAATATACCTATTTGGACTGATACCATATCACCTCGGACTGTTTGTCATTCAGTTTATAGGACTTTTTTCACTTTTTGTTATATTTATGACAGTGTGTTTTATTTGTATAGCGCTGCACACCCCATTTTTATGTTATATTCTTAGAAAGGCTCTGTGGTTCCTTTTTGTGCACCAGCAGCTTTATAAGGTGCGCTCGCTAACTCACACATTTACACCTTATATATATTCAGATTAAGTCCCCCTTATTCCCTCTTACCCCAAGTCACAGCTGCACATGCGCGCCTCGGTTAGCTAGTCGCTGTGGGCGTGTGCATGTGGGTTGGATCCGTGACAGATGGTATCAGTGGGAATAATAGTATCCCATCAATGGAGTCAGTTGGTGGAATAGTGCCCCATAGATGGTACCAGTGGGAGAATAGTGTCCCATCAATGGTGTCAGTTGGTGGAATAGTGCCCCATAGATGGTATCCATGGGAGGAATAGTGCCCCATTGATGGTGTCAGTTGGTGGAATAGTACCTCAAGGGCAAATAAAGGCAAGTCAAGGACCACATCCGGCCTCTTGGCCGTAGTTTGGAGACCACTGGTGTAAGAGATGTAACATTTCTGCTATCAGTTGTATGTAATCAGTTTTTGTGCTAATAAGAGTAAGCTACTAGGTGAAAAGAGACCGCTCGTGCCATCTAGCTTTACACTAAGGAAGTGTTCACATAAAAATAAAGAATACTTTCCTTCCAAATAAATATCTGCCCAGAGAGATATGCAGAGGCTGCCACTGATAGCCTCCTTCTGAAAAATCATTTTTATTTGGCTGTCATATTGATTTTAGTTAGAACAAGTATAGACTCAAAGGGGCTGATTTACTAAAACTGGAGCGTGCAAAATCTGGTGAAGCTCTGCATAGAAACCAATCAGCTTCCAGGGTTTTTTTGTCAAAGCTTAACTGAACAAGCTGAAGTAAGAAGCCAATTGGCTACCATGCATGGCTGCACCAGATTTTGCCCTCTCCAGGTTTAGTAAATCAACCCCTAAGATATTTCTGTGTCTGTGACTTAAAAGCATTGAAGCCAGATTTAGCCAGGAAGTTGGCATTTTCTGAAGGGGGTTAAAGATGGCAGTCCTCCTATTTCCTTCTTGAGGGATGTACCTTAAAGCTTAACTTCATGCTCTGTGGTCCCCCCAGAAATTACACCTCTCTGCCCCTGGAGGCTCTCCCAGCATACATGATATTTTAAATCACAGTGTGTACAGTGCAGCAGTTAGTATGTAATGTACAACATAGATTATGGAATGTAGAGATCAGGCGTAGAACACAGCACTGTAGACCACCTTACTGGGTACTTTCTGACCATCAGTGTAAATCAGCAGGTGCATTTTCTTCCAGTTCTATCAGATCTGAAACTGCTGTCATTACCTGGTTGAAGTTTGCCCTTTTCTTCTCTTGTGTGAAGATCTGTTTTGTGTTGACTGAGATCCTCTATGCTTTCTCTGGGAAAGCTTGCTCTTCAGAACCTTTACAATGCTAACAGAAATAACAGTCTTCTCCTTACCACCCTCTCTCCCTGGTCACCCGTCCCAGAGCCCACAAATGGCTTCCAACCAGCTCCGTCCATCTGGTACAGGTACCAAACTTCACAACAGGCTGCCTGCACTGGTTACTAGAACTTCATTACCCTTGGCAACTATTTGCTTTAACTCTGTACCAGGGGTGGACTGACCATTTGGAAACTCGGGCACTGCCCGAGGGCCCAGGGTCAGTAGGAGGCCTCATGAGATGCCCCTGGTACCTTTTTCATAGGCTTTTTTGAGTTTGGGCAAGGACACAGGGGCCCCATGATCCCCAATTGCCCGGGGGCCCCATGAGTTGTCAGTCCGCCCCTGCTCTGTACCATGTTGTAGAGCTGTCTTCATACCCAATGTGCTTTACAGGTCCAGGCTGCAGATGTCTACGTGTAATGTGCCAGTTACTTTCACACACCCCTTTGAATAACTTTAAACCAGCAGGAAGAACATTTCAAAGAATTACTGGTGAAACTCAGCTTTGACAGTTCCAGTATACCTGCACAGGAAGAGTCCATTATAGACAAGTCCAGGATGGCAGCAATCCATGCAGATGATGTCCCTACGAGTTTGTGTCTTCATAGCAGAATGCAGGTCCCAGTAATCCCTCTACATGGCGTGTGGCTTGCCTCCTGCCTCCACTTCCCCTGGGATCCAGACTCCTCTCCCTTTATAAACACACAGGGCAGGATGGCCTGACCCAGAAAAGCCTGCAAACTAAGTTCTGAGAAAGTGGCAAGAACATTAACCCTTTCCCCCTGGCTAGGGCAGCCACATCTTACTGAATTACAGTAGGCCTTGGCTATTTCACTTGTTTAACTTGAGCTATTGATCTCTGTAAATATTTTTTTCCCCCCCAACAGATCACCAAATATATCCTGGAAAACATGAAAAAAAGAGCCTATTGCTCTACCTGCTGGCTGCATATGCAAGCACTACCAGCCCTCCTGACTTCTCGGGAGATCTCCTGGGACAAGAATAAAGGATTGAGCCCAGTGCTGTCCTTAGAATGCTTACTACATGTTGCAGTCTACATGTTGCCCTCCCAGGCACTGACAGTCTCCAAAGCACTCCATGTTCCACCCGACTCTCCTGTTAGCCTGGCTCTCCCATATTTATAGGCTAGTCCAGCATTCTAGAATGCTTACTACATATTGCAGTCTTTACCTTTGTAGATCCCATAGAATGCTGCTGTACTCACACTGTCCTCTATGCTTCCTCCTGCTCCTGGTCTTAATTCCATTCACTCCTTGCTGCTGAATGTATCCTCCTGAGCCAGCCCGAGCCTAGCCTGGAGGCCGCCCCCCAACCCCCCCAGACCTAGGGGACCCCTCCCAGGCACTGACAGTCTCCACAGCACTCCATGTTCCACCTGACTCTCCTGTTAGCCTGACTCTCCCATATTTATAGGCCAGTCCACCATTCTACCAGGGCCTCTAAACCTTGGATTGGACGGACCCCCATGAATATGCAGATTAGGCTTTCACCCCTTTCTGCTTACCAACTTCTGGAAGGTTATTTGGTCCTCCAGAGTCAGGAGGAAGCAATAGAGCCACAACCTGTTGAGTCATCCAACTGACCTGCAAAAACCCGACCTCAATCAACTACTCACTGATTTTACCTATGATACACTACACTATTCTAGTAGCACACTAGAGGGTGCTACACTGGTAAACCCCACAAAAATCCCAGATCCAACCCAATTGCAGCCATAAAAACTGATCTGGTGCTATTAAACCTGTCATTGCAACATCATTTTGTATCAAACACATCTCTTGTGGTTTCATCGAGCTATATGAAAAAACTGTTTAGGTGGGAAGACATCTTGCTATCTCACATCATTTTTTTCACGCTTCTGAAAGTCCAGGGTGACACTGTATTCTAAATATAATCTAAATATAGACCAGTTTACAAGCACATCTGACATCCTGCCAGGTATAAGCCCATCCTTTGAGGTTTTGTGGTTGTAATAGATCGCATGTTAAAAAAAAGTTTAGTCAAAAGTTTTAAGTAATGAAGTCAGTTTGAAAAAACAAAACAAAACTGACATCAAAAGTTACTGTAAGGCTCAGTTCATCCAAAACTGAAATAATAGTTTTGAGTGGATGCTAGTTAGTTAAACTATCTGACAGGGTCTTCTAACTTTTTGGGACTTTGTTGCTCTTCAGATCTTTTGTGGCTTTCTTGAGTACCCTCAAGTTCACACTACATGCGTTTCAGTTGCTTTTTTTCTGCATCCAAAACACACAGAAAGTAGGTTATATGGTTGTCAATGTCATAGTTCACATCAGTGCTTGCAGCTCCAGTGTGTTCCAGATGCAGAAAAAAAGTAGAACAGGCCGCATTTTTCCTGCACAGAACTATACTGAAACGTGGTAAAATGCATAAAAAATGCACCAGAATGCACCAAAACGCACTGTGACACACATGTCCCTATTTAAATCTGAAGAAAAAGAGAGGGGAAAAAATGATTGCACCTGAACGTTCCAAAAAGGCATAAAAAACGTGAATGCAAAAACGCATTCGGAACACATCTGGACTGCATTTTTCTATAGTGTGAATAGGGCCTAAATGTTTGCTAGGACCAGAACAGCACCAGGAATTATGGCAGGGAGATCCACCAATGGTTTTAGAGTCCAGAACTATTTTTTTTTTTCATCATAAAATGTCCAGAATAGAAAGTCAATGTGTTCTAGGGGTTTATACAGTACCCACTTCATTAAGGCTTCTGCTCACTTCAGTTTAAGCAGAACTCCTGTCTAAAATAACAAATACATGAAAAAGGAGCTTCTGAATATTGAGAGGGGCCTCAGGTCAGGAGTCTTGCCCAAAATGGCAGAAAGCTTAACTCATAAATAGGTGGGTAGTTGTCCTATTAAAGAAGAAGCCGAGTTGGAATAGATGTGGTGGGGAGGGGGGACTTGCATAGTTTGGCTTCAACACCTGTCCAATAGCAGCCTCTTACACACAACATGCAACATAAAGCCAGGGTAGAAGTCATTATGGAAATGTAGAAAGGTGCAGGGGCGGACTGACCATTTGGAAACTCGGGCACTGCCCGAGGGCCCAGGGTCAGTAGGGGGCCCTTTGTACCTTTTTCATAGGCTTTTTGAGTTTGGGCAAGGACACAGGGGCTCTATGATCCCCTATTGCCCGGGGGCCCCATGAGTTGTCAGTCCGCCCCTGGAAAGGTGCATATGGCAATCCACAGCCACAGGGAAAAGGAGCATGGAGTTCTCAGGGTAATTCCTTGACCCACCAGGTTCAGGTTCAGGAGAGAGGAGAAGAGATGTGGAAGAAGTATTTGATCCTTGAAGGTAAAAAACTGAAAGAACCCTTATGTACCCCAAACGGAGAACCTGAAATACCCTTCTATCTTTATATTATATACAGTTGCAAGAAAAAGTATGTGAACCCCTTGGGATCACGTGGAGTTTTGCATGAATTGGGCATAAAATGTGCTCTGAACGTCATCTAAGTCCCAACAATAGAAGAACACAGTCTGCTGAACATAATACTACACAAACATTAGATGTTGCCATGGTTTAATTGCACATAACATGTAAACATTCACCGTGCAGGGAGGAAAAAGTATGTGAGGCCCTAGCTTAATGACTTCTCCTAGAGCTAATTGGAGCCAGGAGTGAGCCAACTTTGACTCCAATCAGTGTGATGATATTGGATGTGTTGCTGACAGCTGCCCTGCCCTTAAAAAACACACACCTGTTTTGGGTTTACTGGTTTCAAGAAGCACTGTCTGATGTGAACCATGCCTCGCAGAAAAGAGCTCTCAGAAGACCTACGATCAAGAATTGTTGACTTTCATGAAGCTGGAAAGGGTTACAAAAGTATTGTCAGGAATGTGGTGGGACTCACCTGCCTTGTGGGTTGCAGTACCAGGACTGGCCAGCGGGTGCTCTCAGCAACCAGAGGCTCACTCCTGCAGTCAGCCAAAACACCTGAGGCTGATTACGGGAGGTGCATATAAGGAATGGCCAGACTTGCAATCAGGGCCTTGGTGTATGTTTTCCCAAGAGCCCCTGTACCTGCATCCTGTCGGCTTCCTGTCTGATCCTGCTTTATCCCTGACTCTGATTGAACTCCGCCTGTCCTGACCTCTGCTATTCCTGACCACTCTCCAGTCTGCACCTTTGGTACCTTGTCTGCCCGTTTGCTACCTACCCGGCCTTCCCGACTACGCTTAGTATTGTTCTTTTGTTATCTGTTGGGGGTTTTGGTTTGGTTTGTTTGCACTGTGTTTATGTTTAGTCTTGCACTGCATTTATGTATTGTTTAGTCTTAAATAAATTATATTGTTTATACTATATCTGAAGCCTGCGTTTCCCTGTGTCAGTCCACACACCTCTGGTCATACCCGGAGCCCTGACAAGTATCTCCAAAAGCCTTGATGTTCATGTGTCCATGGTAAGACAGACTGTCTACAAATGGAGAAAGTTTAGCACTGTTGCTACTCTCCCTAGGCGTGGTCGTCCTGTAAAAATGACTGCAAGAGCACAGCGCAGAATGCTGCATGAGGTAAAGAGGAATCCCAGAGTGTCAGCTAAAGACCTACAGAAATCTCTGGCACATGCTAACATTTTTGTTGACACATCTACAATAAGGAAAACATTAAACAAGAATGGAGTACATGTGAGGACACCACGGAGGAAGCCATTGCTGTCCAAAAAGAATATTGCAGCACGTTTGAAGTTTGCAAAAGAGCACCTGGATGTTCCACAGCACTACTGGCAAAATATACTGTGGACAGATGAAACCAAGATTGAGTTGTTTGGGAAGAACACACAACACTATGTGTGGAGAAAAAAAGGCACAGCACACCAACATCAAAACCTCATCCCACCCACTGTAAAACATGGCGGAGGGAGCATCATGGTTTGGCGCTGCTTTGCTGCCTCAGGGCCTGGATGGATTGTTGTTGTTGATGAGAAAATGAATTCCAGAGTTTATCAAGACATTTTGCAGGAAAACGTACGACCAACTGAAGCTCCGCAGAGGATGGGTGATGCAACAGGACAATGACCCAAAGCATACAAGTAATTCAACAAAACAATGGCTGCAACAGCACAGAATACGCCTTCTGGAGTGGCCCAGTCAGAGTCCTGACCTCAACCTGATTGAAATGCTGTGGCATGACCTTAAGAGAGCGATTCACACCAGACATCCCAAGAATATTGCTACACTGAAACAGTTTTGTGAAGAGGAGTGGTCCAAAATGACTCCAGATCGTTGTGCAGGTCTGATCTGCAACTACAGGAAACGTTTGTTTGAGGTTATTGCTGCAAAAGGAGGGTCAACCAGTTAT